CAATTCCCCACCCTTCATCACCTCTCCCCCAAATCCAAACCCAAACCCAAACCCTACCCCATCAACCTCGTACCCACCCGCCACCCCAACCCAGCCGCAAAATCCACCTCCGCGGCCGCTGCCAACAGCGTCGAGACCTCTCGCGTCCAGAGGATCCACAGCGCCGACGAATTCGACTCGGCCCTCCGCTTGGCCGGCAGCCGCCTGGTAGTCGTGGAATACGCCGCCAGCGACAGCGACGACAGCAGCAAGATCTACCCGTTTATGGTCGACCTCAGCCGCAATTGCAGCGACGTCGACTTCCTTCTCGTGATGGGAGACGAGTCCGAGGAGACCCGCCGGCTCTGCGCCCGCGAAAAAATCAACCGCGTCCCCCACTTCAGCTTCTACAAAGGGATGGAAAAAATTCACGAGGAGGACGCGATAGGGCCTGACCAGCTAATCGGGGACGTGCTCTATTACGGGGACCGGCACTCCGGCGTGGTCCAGATCCACGGCCGCCGGGACGTGGAGGAGCTGATCGCGGCCCACCGCGCGGACGGGAAGCTGATTGTGCTGGACGTGGGGCTCAAGCACTGCGGGCCGTGCGTGAAGGTGTACCCGACCGTGCTGAAGCTGTCGCGGTCGATGGCGGACACGGTGGTGTTTGCGCGGATGAATGGGGACGAGAACGACAGCTGTATGGAGTTTTTGAGGGATATGAAGGTAGTGGAGGTGCCGACGTTTCTGTTTATTCGGGATGGAAAGATATGCGGGCGCTATGTCGGGTCGGGTAAGGGCGAGCTGATTGGGGAGATTCTTAGGTACCAAGGGGTACGGGTCACTTATTAGATTGATTATGAATGAATTTTGGGGGTAACCTTTATGGTTTAATTAAGTTGTGTTTTGAGATTAATTTTGAGGTTTGGTGGGGATTAATTTTTCTTAATACAAAAGCACAGTTTCAAGTTTCAATTCAGTGTCAATGAAAAAAGGCTGATTGATATTAAATGCAAGATATATCATGATATCAGTACAGGAAAACCCAGTCAAAGGAAAATCCCAAGTCGATAGCCAGCAGCCATATTCATGTCCATGCCTATCACTTGGGATACATTTAGCTGTACTAATAAATTAATTTAATTTGCTACTGTGCTTTTCTTTATTATTGAATATATCAATCAAATTAGTTATAATTAATTTATACAAGATATGATATACCCTATGTGTAACATCCAAATTCATAAATTCATTTTGATATCTGTAGTGCGAGAATTTCCTATCTTGTGAGATTTAGTTTATGATCATCTGCTTAGCTTTTAGCTGTTTGAAACCACTTTAGCGGTTTGACCATCTAAAACAGCTAAAAAACTTGTTTGGTAAACAAGAATTTCAAAATAGCTTTTTGGGAGAAAAAGCTGACTTTGTAAACGCTGCAATTAGTAGCGTTTGAAGTGAGCTTTTTGGTACAATTATTTATGTTGTTACAATCAATCAATCAATCAAAAAAAAAAAAAAAATAATAATAAAAGAAGACAAATGCGATTGGAGAAAGACTAATTATTTATGCGTTTGAAGTGTTGCCCATTATTTGTCATTTCTTCTTTTTGTGATAAAAAAATTATACACAATTTTGGATAAACATTGTATAGAAATTGCAACCATAAATATCTGTTGTTGTTTAATAACTATTTTTATTGTTTACTAATAATATACATAAATTGTAGTTTCTAAAATAATTATTATTGCCACATGAAAAATATCAAAATACAAAAAGATAATTATAAGTAATTTTAAATGTAAATAAACTATCAAAATGCTAATTTACCAAACACGTTTTGCAATAATCCGCTAGCGTACAAACTAGTCAAAACAGCTAATCTAATTCGCTGGTAAAAAAAGCTAATAGAATCTGCTAACAGCTAACCGCTAATTGCCAATTGTCAAAACAAGTCCTATGTCTGTTCATTTCAATGTTATAATTTATGTTTCTTCTAAAAGTAAGGTTGTAATGTCATCTCCACTATTATATGTATTTGACCTTTCAAGGATGTCCAAAACAATTGCTTGACTTGAGATGTTGTAGTAGAGGAATAAACAGGAGTGTAATGTTGCTTAATTGTGTTATGAGAATGTCTGCCGTTTTAGGAAAAAAAAAAAAAAAATCAAAAAGAAAAGAATTGTAACAATCGGGTGATCCTATTTAGTCTTCTATCTAATAGGCACAACATTAATTATTGTCATTTGTAATTAATAAGCACGTTGCCACTAAACAGTGAATAGAAACAACAAAAGTCGTAGTACATTTTGAAAGTAAAATTGACAGCTTAATTCAACTTAAGGTTCTATTTCTATTTATTCTTTTACTAATTTATTTATCTGTAATTGTGTGCAAGCTACAGTTTCCTATGATTCACACTAAATACTAAATATGGATATTTCTCAACACTCATTAGAGTTTCTTCCAAAAATAAACAAATTGTAGAATAAAATTCGGGATTATAAAGTTAAATAACATTTTTTTTTTATTCACATTAATTAAATAAGTAGTTTTTATAACCCTCATTCACATATTCTATTATACACGACACATTCAAAATATAAGTTAAATGGCACGGTCAACTTTTAATAAATTCAAAGTTCAACAATTCAGTAAAACAAATTGGATTTTTTTTTTTTTTTAGAAAAGAAGCCTCTACAAAAACACAAAATATAAATCTAAATCATATTCTTCCTTTGTCTTCCCTCTTGAAGTAGGTTTTGACATTCTTGTAACCAGATAGAGTTCTCACTGACTTTCTAACTTATAATTTTAATATTATATACATGCATATAATTTATCATAATTATAATATTGTTCTAACTTATAATTTTAATATTATATACCTCCATATAATTTATCATAATTTAAATATTGTGCATATACATGATTGAATACTAATTTTATAGACTATAATGGGGTTGACTAGTAAAATGGTTAGTGAGTTTGAATTAGCTAATGAAAATAATTCTTGTTCACAAAGGAGCTAAAATGTCTCAAGTCTCTTTGATCATTTCAAGCTTATAGATGAAGTTATTTGTCTCCCTAATAGTAAAAAAAATTTATTTCGAAAATATCGAATACTTATTGTCATACAGAACTGTAAAAGCCAAATAGATTGTAAATTGTAACACACTTTCAAATTACTTCGACTACCTTTAAGTTTATATATCCCTTATATGGTTTTACTATGTCCGCATAAAATAACAATTTTCAACGTTCAATCAAGACATGAAAGAATGTGAAATGATCGAGTGAGTGCTAAAATCATAAGTGTAAACGTTATTAGTTTTACTATAATATATATTACTAATTACCTTCATCATAAGAATTATACAAATGAAGATAAAAAGATGAAAGATATTGTTGTGTAAAATCGATAGAAAGAGATTATTCGTTCTTAAAAATAGCAAAGGAAATGTTAAGATCATTTTTATTTTGCATCACAAAATTTTATTTTTCAATTATAAAGTTGTTCAAATTAATACCCGTGACTATAATGTTATAATTTTATTTTTTAATTTGACTTTGGCATTTTCATTCCCACAAACCTCAGCGTTTGTTAGTTTTTTCAGTTATTTTATATATTCAAGATACGGAAACATTTCTTAAAAAAAAAAAAGAAGTGATTTCGTTTGTTGACCTTATTATATTCATTACATAATACATACTGCCATACTTTAACAAAATAAAATTCTAAATAAACTAAATAATAGGTAATATCTTAAATTTAATAATAGAGAATATCTATCTATAACCTCGTCACTTTTATGCTTTAATATCATGTTTTGGTATGTGTGTTTAGTGGTAGGGGTACGATATTCGTGTACACGGGTATTTATTAAATAATTTATATTCAAAAATAAAAAACATAAAACAAAAAGGTCTTAATCTAAATTTTTAAGTATCTTATAAAAATTGCATTACCATTTTATTTAATTTATATTTATAAGAATAGATTATCCTTTATTATACATATAATATTAATTTTGAATTGAAGATCGTATAAAGTCGATTAATTTGATATATTATAACTAAAAAATTTATTAAATTTTAACATATATTTATAATTTAAATTGATAAAGTGTTTTATAATTATGAACTTCTAATAGGTATGAATAGAAGTACAGATCTACACGTATCGCCCGAATCATAAAAAAGTGACAAATAAAATTATAAATCAACAAAAATCGTCATATATATAACCTTTGGTAATATGCATTTATATATAGAAAGAGATATCCATTCTTTACCCGAATCATAAATAAGTGACAAATAAAATTATGAATCAACAAAAATCGCCATATAACCTTTGGTAATATGCATTTATATATAGAAAGAAGATATCCATTCTATAGCTATTAATAAAAATTTTATTTAACAAGCCTATGGATATGATGAGAAACGAGAGATGGAAGTATAACTTTATGTTGTGTTATGCTAGAAACTTTTATTTATTACAGATTTATATTTACCGTGGCAATAGGGTTCTAAACGAGCCGAGTCGAAGTTAAGCTCATTGTGATCGAACTCTAGTTTGAGCTTTTGACGAGCCTAGCAGAGTTCGGCTCCCTAAATAAACGAGTTAGTGATCGAGTTCGATTCGTTTATCATAATTAACAAACTCAAGCTCGAACATTAATTAATGAGCTGAACTCGTGCTTTAATAAACCAATTTATATAGAAAATTATATAAAAACTCTAATATTTTCAAGCTTTAGTGAGCTAGTCTAGCTGAGCTTGCTCGTTAACTAGAAGACTTTCAATTAGTTTGAGCTCGACTCGTAAAGACGATGTCACAAGTAAATCGTTTTATTTAACAATGAGTTTTAACATGCTCATAAACGATGTCCCTCCTCCGTTGACTCTTATAATTATAAGATATCCTCAATTAATTGTAGCAAGATAATTTTCTCATTTTTTTTTTTATTATGATTATTACACGGTTGTACATAAATTTCCAATTTTTTTGTTTTAATGCATTACCAGTTGTGTTATTGTAAATTTGAGTATACCTTTCCAAATATTAAATGTACGTTGAAAATAAAAATTGTAACCCTTCAAAAATTTTATTTAAAAAATAAAATAAAAAAAAACTAGAATAAAATGTCATCAATGTTTTTAGAAATGGAACAAAAGATCGTCATTTGTTTTTTCATTCGGTCTTATGTTATCAATTTAAAAATGAAAATAGTCTCTGCCCATCATATGTATATGAAATAGATATATATTGAAAGTGAGAAAAATGCAAAAGCCGTAAAAACACTAAACAAATATTATCCAAAAGGGACTTGTGAGGTGTTTGGATGATGTCACAAGGTGAAAATGCTTTCACCTCGAGTAAATGCCGTTCCCTTCACCCTGCATGAGAATAATGTGGTGGCCACTGGCCATGATCAGTTTGCATTTAGTTTATAATTTATTCAATTGTATTTGGTTATATTGTCAAATTGACATAATTTAAAAATTATGCGAATGTAAATATATGTATACTTTCAAACTTAATTAAATATAATTATTTGATTACCAATAATAAAAAAAAAAAACAAAGTAAAACATTCTAAAGATGGTGCCATTTGTCCTTTTCATCTAAGTAAATTTAATCCTAAAGCATAATTTAAGTTTATCACTAATATGATATTACTATGTCCACATAAAATAACAATTTTGTATGTTTAAAAGGATTGGTGGCAGTCCACGTCAGACTCACTTTCCACGTCATCATGCACATGCAAGACAAAGAGAAACTCCACACTTGACCAATATGGCACGTGAGAATTCAAATATCTCAATGCATGGAAGAAAAACGGCATCTGCAGGCTATGAAGGAATAAGTTGTCCTTTTACCCCTTTGGGGGTAATACTCATTTTTGAATATTCTGTTTTTACTCATTTTTGAATATATAGAACAAGCTGCGGGGTGTAATTGATTAAGAAAAGATATTATCTAAAATTTCATTTAATCCCAGAATCATTTTTCTATCTTTGCTTCATTTCAATCATGTTTTATATATGAAATCCTTTTAATATTCAAACCAGACATGAAAGAATGTGGAATGATC